TCTCTCTCTCTCCCTTTACCCCTCTCCGATAACCCACTGCCTCTCTCTCCCTCTACCCTTCTCCGATAACCCACTGTCTCTCTCACTCTCTCTCCGATAACCCACCGTTTCTCTCCATTCCTGCACCAATACATTTCTCCGTGTGGGTTATCTGTGACTGACAATCCCCCATCGGGTCATTTACCTTCATCAGTTTGGAGTTCTGATCCTCAAGGATGTAGATATCTTCCTCCATCTTCTTCAGCTTGCCCTCCGTGGTCACCTTCTCGAGTTGCAGTCTCTGTCGCGTGGCTTCTTCCTCTTCCAGCTGCTCCTCGATGTCCTGGGACAGGGACAGAGTGAGTCAATCTAGCACGGCCCAGTCCAGAGACTGTGGGGGGGAGCTGGGGACAGGGAGGACGCACAAGGGATGGGGGGGGATGGGGTGGAGAGCGTGAGCAGGAGAGACAGACAGAAAGAGAGACATACAGACAAAGACAGAGAGTGCCAGACACAGAGAGAGACATAGAGACAGCGTGAGAGACAGAAAAAATGGGAGCTGAAATGGGAGAGACAGAGGGAGCAAGCAAGACAGAGGAGACAAAGATCTTGTGGACAGAAAAAGAGAGTGAAGAGGGAGATAAAATGTGACAGAGACAGAGACAGAGGTGGGGGAGAAAAAGGGAGCGAAGTGGAAGACAGAAGGAGAGAGGAAGGAAGAATGGAGAGAGGGAGGGAGGAGAGACAGAGAAAAAGTACAGAGGGACAGACGTAGGAAAGAGGAGGGAGATGAGACAGCAAGAGACAGAATACATGAGGGGCAAAGAGAGAGAGACGTGAGAGATTAAGCAAGAGGATAGCAAAAGTGTGAAGTGTGAAGTGTGAAATTCACTTTGGAAGGTCGAATTTGAACGCAGAATACAGGGTTAATGGCAGGATTCCCGGCAGTGTGGAGGAACAGAGGGATCTTGGGGTCCACGTCCAGAGATCCCTCAAAGTTACTACCCAACTTTGATAGGATTGTAAAAAAGGCGTATGGTGTGTGTTGGTTTTCATTGGGCAGGGGAATGGAGTTTAAGAGCCGTGAGGTCATGCTGCAGCTCTATAAAACCCTGGTTAGACCACACTTGGAATATTGTGTTCAGTTCTGGTTGCCTCATTATAGGAAAGATGTGGAAGCTTTAGAGAGGGTGCAGTGGGAGATTTACCAGGATGTTGCCTGGACTGGAGTGCAGGTCTTATGAGGAAAAGGTTGAGGGAGCTAGGGCTCTTTTCATTGGAATGAAGAAGGATGAGAGGTGACTTGATAGAGTCGTACAAGATGATGACAGGCATAGATAGAGTGGATAGTCAGAGACTTTTTCCCAGGGTGGAAATGACTGTTACGAGGGGGCATAATTTTAAGGTGACTGGTTGAAGATATGGGGGAGATGTCAGAGGTAGGTTCTTCACACAGAGAGTGGCGGGTGTGTAGAATGCGCTGCCGGCAGTGGTAGTGGAGTCAGATACTTGAGACTTTTAAGCGACTCTTGGGTAGGCACATGGAGGATAGTAAAACGTAGGGTACACAGGGTAGTTTGATCTTAGTAGGAGAAGAGGTCGGCACAACATCGTGAGCTGAAGGACCTGTACTGTGTTATAGCAGGAGAGAGAAAGAGAGTGCTAGAAACTGAGGGAGACAGAGGGCTGGCACAAAGGAGAAGCGGGGAGAAAGAGAGAGGGTGGGGGGGGGGAGGAGGGGGGGGGGGGGGGGGAAGAGAGAGAGGCGGGGGAAAGAGGGGTTGGGGGGGGACAGGCAGACAGAGACAGGATGGACATGGAAGGGAGAGGCAGAGGATGGGCAGTGAGTGGGAGAGAAGAAGGAGAGAGAGAGGATGTTATGGCCAGAACGGTGGGAGTGAGATACAGAAAGACAGGCAATGAGAAAGGAGATGGGGAGGAGTTGAAGAGACAGGCAGGGAGAGAGATACAGAGAGACACACACAGAGAGGTGATAGAGGCAGAGAGGATACGGGGGGTGGGAGGGGCAGAGGGGCCTCACAGTGTGATCCCACCTGGATGTGCCGCTGCATCTTCCTCTTCTCATTCTGAAGCTGCTGGTTCCGTTCCTCCTCCTCCTCGACACGGGACTCCAGGTCGTGCAGGATTTCCTCCAGCTCCTGCTTCTTGCTGGCGAGCCGAGCTCTCATCTCCTCGGCTTCAGCAAACAGCTCCGTCTCAGCCTGCAGCTGCTCTGCCAGGATGTTCTTCTCCTCCACCAGCTGCAACACCACACACAAAACTGGGTTAGATACAGAGTAAAGCTCCCTCTACAATGCCCTCCCCATCAAACACTCCCAGGGACAGCATGGGGTCAGATACAGAGTAAAGCGCCCTCTACACAGTCACCCCCATCAAACACTCCCGGGGACAGGGGGTTAGATACAGAGTAAAGCTTCCTCTACACCACCGTCCTCCCTCCCCCCATCAAACACTCCCAGGACAGGGACAGTACGGCGTTAGATACAGGGTAAAGCTCCCTCCACACTATCCTCCCAATCAAACGCTCCCAGGGACGGGGACAGCATGGGGTTAGATAGAGAGTAAACCTCCCTCTACACCATCCCCCATCACCCCTCCCAGGGACGGGGACAGCACACAGTCCCTGTGCATTGCTGACCTGCTGATGCTTGCGGCCCAGTTCGGTCAGGTCCATCTCGGCCTTTAACTGCTTCTCTTTGACCTTGAGCAGCTCCTCGTCTTTGGCCTGAATCTCCTCGTCCTGTCTGGTCACCTGGAGCAGGGGCTTCACCTGGGATAGAACAACAGACAGTGAGACAGACAGAGGGAGGAGGGTAAGGGAGGGACTTGAACAGGAGGGTGAGGATTGTAGGGGGCTGGAGAAGGTGACGGAGATAGGGAGGGAGGGACTTGAACAGGAGGGTGAGGATTGTAGGGGGCTAGAGGAGGAGGTGACGGAGATAGGGAGGGAGGGATTTGAACAGGAGGGTAGTCTGACAGGCATGTGTAGGGTCTCCATCAGATACAGTACAAAAACATATTGCCCACTCAAAGGGCAAACAGTTGGAGGCAGAAGACCAGAGAATCAACGAAGGCGCAATGGAGTCCCATGAATGAGCGAAGAGATGGAGAAAATCCCAGGCCAGTCAGAAGATGTCCGAGGAATCCAGAAGGTGAGGATTTCAGGGAGATGGGCTCTGAGCACCTCAGGGGTATCTTCTCTCTCTCTCTCTCTCTCTCTCTCTGTCCTCCCCCTAACCTGAACAGCACACCCCCGCCTCTGCAGGGTGCGAGGGAGGGTGACCCTGGAAACTGCGAGGTGAGGCTGGCACCTGTCTCCAGGGCGGAAATGGTCCCGCTCCGTTCTTCCTCACTTTCCAGCGCACCCCGTTCCCGGGGGGAGGAGCCGACAGAGAGAGACGGGGGTCGGGGGGGGGGGGGGAGGGAGGGGGGGCGGGGGGGGGGGGAGAGAGAGAGACAGAGCGGGAGGGAGGGAGAGAGAGAGAGACAGACAGACAGGGAGGGAGGGGGAGACAGACAGGCACGGAGGGAGAGTCAGACAGGGAGAGAGAGAGGGAGACAGGCAGGGAGGGAGAGACAGGCAGAGACAGGGAGAGGTAAAGAGCGACGGAAAGAGGGAGAGTCCGAGAGAGACAGAGACAGGTAGAGAGCGACAGGGAGAGGGAGAGTCCGAGGGAGAGTCCGAGAGAGAGAGAGAGAGAGGTAGAGAGCGACAGGGACAGGGAGAGTCCGAGGGAGAGTCCGAGAGAGAGAGAGAGAGGTAGAGAGCGACAGGGAGAGTCCGAGAGGGAGAGGGAGAGAGAGAGGGGGAGTCCGGGAGAGAGAGAGGGGGAGTCCGAGAGAGAGGGAGAAGGAGAGAGCGACAGGGAGAGGGAGAGGGAGAGAGCGACAGGGAGAGACAGAGGGAGGGAGAGACAGAGGGAGAGAGCGACAGGGAGAGACAGAGGGAGAGACAGAGGGAGAGACAGAGGGAGAGACAGAGGGAGAGA